TGACGCTGCGCGTTCGCATGTGAGTTGAAACTAAAAGCCGATCAAAGCAAGGTGGGGGAGGGCGAAGAATTAGGGGGTTGAAAACAGGGGGGATAAAAGTGAAGCGGGAACGGGACGATAACGGTGAAAAAGCGTAAAATGGGGAATATGAAGATTGGAAGGCTTGATAAGTATCATCCGAACCCCTATCCACCCTGCTCGATGCAGCAGATAGGGCACCATTGATTATACTCTGCGGTGGCCAGAGCATCAAGAAATTGTTGTAGGAAAGTTTCATTGTATTGCGTGGGCAGAATACTGTCAGGTTGCCCAGGCCTAGACAGGAGAACGATTAGGGTTCTCAACCAAAGCCTTTGGTTCAAAAACCTTACCGCAAGGCAGCGGGTTTTGGCACTGGACTACAGAGCCCGTTTTATGAAATGAGGAGCCACCCCCCTTCCAACCCCCAACCTGGAGGACCAGGAGGCTGAGTTTGTCTGGCCTCTAATCATTGACCAATGTGATATGAGTGGCTCTGAAGGTGCAAAAATGCAGCACCCAGTATAGCTCAATGGATCACTGAGGCACACAAACCATCGTAATAAGGTAAGGTCCAGTCTCATTGCGATGGAGTCATGCACAATACTGAGGAATAAACAACTTTCAAGACAACGAAACTTCTTTCTGATCATATTCCAAGAAATATGATAGCGAATGGTTTAAGACTGCCGGTAAGCTTTAAACTGCTCTACATCCCCAAATCCCCGCAAATCGTTTAGGCTTATTAACCGACAGATCAATACTCGCTTGCTCCATTTTGCTGAAGCATTAGCAATTGAGCGGCTGAAACCCAATGTGTGTAAACAAGCCGAGTTTATGACCAGCCTCGTATTGTCTTGGCAATGTTTCTCTGATGGTTTCAAATATAAACCGAATGACCCTGAACATGGCTTCCTCTCACAGGAACACGATTATTTCACGAACTGTATGTTACCAGTTGAGGGGAATACCCGAGATATCTGAATTCAGAGTATCCAGTTGAAACATTGTTTTTATGTGTAATATTGAAATTTATCAAGGAAATACGCTACAATAAATAAACAATTTCATGGCACAAGTGATCACTGGTGATGTCGAAAACAGTCAGGCTTACGTTATGCAGCTGAATTGTCATAAACACAGAGTAACACTGATCAACAATCCCTGGCTCGCAAACCGACCGCTGTACGTATGAAGTTTTAAACCCAAGTGTATTTCATTAAAGCAGTAACCGAAAAGCAAACAGGTTTTATGATTTGTTACGCTACCTCGTTGACGAACACCTGGATTACTCATAGACGCACGGTGCACTCAGTCAGCTGAGTTTACAGTGTGCAGTATGTAGAGGTGGAGCAAAATGACGACTGCACTGCAAAATAACATCGATGATGAACTCAGCTGACTCAGGAGTCAAGATCGCAATCAGAACACGGTGACTTCACTTTACTGACACGGGCGCAAAAACGCTCAATAAAATGTCAGCTCAACTAAAGTATTATTCACATACTGATGCCCAATTGATATAAACACCAGTAAGAAAGTTGATCAAATTTCGGAGTTCAGAAGGACTTAAAACATAAACCGGTTTTGTAAAAGCTGGTGTTACGGCTACGTCTCGTTCTCGACATAACAGCCGCTTCAGATCAGTCGACCAAAGTTGGCATGGCCAATGCAGAGATCCGTTATCCATGTTTGAGGCAAAAAGCAGGGTGCAGTGCAGAGTATGTCTGGCCTGTTAGCCGTGACTACCATTCACCTGTCGAATACTGTCCCGCATAGTCATTTAGAATCGGCCTTATGAGCAGATCCTTTTGCGCCGATCGCATCCTCCGATGGAGAACTAAATGGTTGCTGGTCAGAACTGTTGATAATGTGAAGCCAACTTGACGTTGGATGTCACCATCCGTCTCATAGAGTACATTAAGTGAAGTCGGCTAATGTCAATTAGAGTATTCACAAGCATACCACCTCCCAAAACATTACGCTCTGCCCAAGTGACAAGAGGAAATAAAACGTACTACCAACTTGATTTCTGTTGCGCCAGGCGGAAATCTCAAGAAATTCAAGAACAAAAGGGTTAAAAACGCTACGACAACTGGCATATCCCTCCTATTTTGTATGGACGCAGACATGAACACCTCCCTTTCCACAACATTGAAGGTGGTCACAAAGAGGATTGCTTGCAATTTATTAGTTCATAGGGCCCGAAAGTACAGCAGAACGACGGAGAAATGATTTAATAAGAAAAAAAACCTGACGCTAATAGGAGCCTTGCTGCTTTGCGTCACATATGCTCCAGATGAACGCGACTTATATCGTGCAAGGCAAATGGCCTAACGCATTAACAGGTGGTTCATAAAATACGAATAAAAGCCTAGAAAGGACCCAGGTTGGAAGCGCGCTCCACGGCTGGTAAACTCGGAGGTAAAGAATCTGGCGAGATTCAAACCGAATACATCGCGCGGCCAATCACAACTGAGTCACTTCAAGCTGCTGTTGTGTCCAAGTCGCAAGAAGTGGAGAGCAAAGTGTGACGAGGGTTTGTCAAAATATGGCACGTTAATAAGCGGTCACAGTTTCGATGAAGACATCTTCCACCGTACACTCCAAGAGCTTTCGACCAAATTCTGTACAGTAAACGAAACAAGCCCACAAGATAAATGGTTAATTCTCATGGCGAAGTCATGAATACAACGACGTTACGCCTCTGTTAGTTTCCGGGGCTTCGATCGTCTATTACTCCCGTGATCTAACTAACGCGTTTAACAACAGCTGGAAGATGGCGGGATCAGCTCGCTCGAACACTGTCAGCCATCGACACCATCAAGGAGTGGTTTGACAAAGCTGAGTTACTATGAACCACTAACCTAAGGTCAAGCTTAACATTAACCGTTCTGTCAAACCTTGCCTGTCGCGACCCGGTGGCGAAAGAGATAGAGGCCCCAACTAACACCGAGCTGATGAGATCGAACATGATCGAAAAGCATAGTGGGGTGCAGTGTTTTCAGGAGAGCCACATGCAATTTCCAACTGCTTCTTTTCCTCTGGCTGAGTAGTTCCCAATCAGTAGCCAGATGTTTGAGGGTCTGACTGCATGGCTCGCGCGGGGACAAACTGCCTGTTTGTCATCGCTGCCTACGCCCCCACAAACTGTGGCGATGATTCGGTGAAAGACGACTTTTATCGTCAACTGAACGAGCTCCCTCGTTACAGAAGAAGCACGGACACTGTAGTGCTGGCTGGGCATCTGAACGCGCAAGTTGGAAAATTGTACACTAGGTGGCCAACATAATGTAGGCTCCAGTAATTATAACGGTGAGCGATTATATCATGTGTAAAGATGCTCTCTTATTTCTTGCGTGCACTAACTTCCGAAATAGCAACCGCTGGAGGTTGACATGGCGCCCACAAGCCTTGAATCGGTCATGGACGCAAATCGATCACACTGAGATCAGTTACCGCTGGAGAGGGTGCGATATCACACACTCGCTAAAAGGCAGGTTTTACAAAGCCTGTGTACGCGCGATATTGTTGTATGGATGCGAATCCTGGCTGATCCGTGTGGAAGACATGCGTCGTCTTTCGATCTTTGAAAGTAGCCGTTTTCGGAGGATTGCTTGCTTGCCTTGGCAACACCGAGTGTGTAATGATGACGTTAGACACCACGTATTGGGTAAGGCGGATGTTACGCATTGTGACATCGTCCGGCTGCGTCAACTAATATGGTTTGGCCACGTCCTGCGAATGCCAAACGAGCGTTTACCACACCGCGCCCTGTTTGAGCACGGACGGTTACTTTGGAAAAAGTCGTGTGGAGGTCAACCGTCCACCTAGTGACAGTACATGAAATCTAGGATATCTTGCTTGGCCATCGCTAACACGTTGGACAGCCCGGATGGGGACTTAAAGATGAAGAATGCTAATGGCTCACAACGCTGGAAGCATTGGCGCAAAACCGGTCTCAGTGGAAGCAGTGCGCGCAAAGTCTGCGTGATTTCACGTTTACAAAAACACTAGCTCTTAAAAGCTGCAAAAAATTACAAAGTGGCGTGCGTAACAACACAAAGAACTGTTGTTGCATTTTTTCATTCATTATCAAATAGCCCTTGGCACAGAGCAGCCAAAAGCGTTCAGAAATTCAACTGCCTCGGCATCTGAATGGTTGCCCATGGAATCTAGAACGAGATCAAGGACCGAACAGCAAATCTAGAGTTGTTTTTGACATAGTTCGCCACTTGGGAGTTCCATGTGACATCACGCTAGCCCTGCAGAGTAGAGCACCCAAGTCAACCTTACTGTACGTCGTGAAACCTTGTCCATAAAATCGAGAAACGTGAAGCACGTTCGAGCAGTAGTGCCTTCGCGGCTTAGCTCCACTTGGTAGACACACCGTTTGAGCATTGAGAACGCTCAGTGTCCTGTCTATGGCGTAGAAAGCACTAGTTACTGTACTGTGTCAAACGCATTCAGTGTTCTAATGATTTTAAGTATTAACAACAGGAAAGAGTAAGGCAAGATACCGTTAAACATAGTAAAAACAAACATAGAGCTACGATCCCTAGTTGGTATAGTGCATGATATTGCATGCACTGAACTGCCACCCGCAATTAAATTCGACAATTTGACAAAATGTGCCAGCAAAAAAGTGAAAATACGAGAAGCGTCAAAGACCTCTAAACAACAATCCACCTGCCACACTAACCTGACCGGAACGATGGGCAACGGTATTGCATAAAGCGTCGCCTCGCCATAGCAATAGTATAGTCAGCTGACCACCAACGCAACGGCCTGTGCCTGCGAGACAGCAATCGGCCGGTCAGCAGTGTTCCACATCCTTCTGGCCAAATGCAACAAACTCATGCAATAAACACTGAGCGAAAAATAGTTGTTAATTGTAAACTACATTTGACACATATCGTACACGTTCAACGGATTATCAAAAATATTGCAGACTGGTAGTGCACTCTCACTCCAGAACTCACTCAAGTGAACAGCTTCTACGTGTGCCCGAAGGCGACACTTTAGGGAAAATGATTTCCCACAGGATTCACATGTGTGATTTCGCTGCTCTGGAACAAAAAAGCAGGACGTTCGCAGTCATGTTGAATATTGAAGAAAAAACCATTTCCAAGACACTAATAAGTATTTCGGAGCATATTCAACGTAATATGGTAGCGAATGGTTCGGAGCTGCCAGTAAGTTCTAGTGTTTAGCACATCCTAGACTGCTCTACATCCCCAAATCCCCGCAAATCGTTTAGGCTACTTAACCGACAGATCAATGCTCGCTTGCTCCATTTTGCTGAAGCATTAGCAATTGGGCGGCTGAAATGCAATTTTCGTAGACAAACTGAGTTTATTACCAGCCTCGTACTAGCTCACCAATGTTTCCCTGGTCGGTTAAGATTTAATTTGAATGATCTTGAACGCTGTTTCCTCTCACAAGCAAGATGATCATTCCACAAACTGTAACAGCTGACGAAAGTATCCGAAATGGCCGAATTCAAAGTATCCTATTGAGATGTATTTCCCTCTTGCTATGTGGAAAATTTACCAGGGAGATACTCTGCATGAAATAAACTATTTCATGGCATAAAAGCACTGTGCAGAGACCAATGGAATTGTCTAAAACACAGTCAAGTCTAAGTTTCCCAAATAAATGACCGTGAGCAGAGCGTAAAATTTTTCAACGGTCCCTAGCTCTCGCACACTGATCGCTGCACATATGAAGTTTAAAACCCAACTGTATTTCAACAAAGCGGTAACCGAAAACCAACCAAGCTCCCTATTGAACAGGTGTCTACCTCCTTTACGAAATGTTTAAACACCTGGATTACTCAAAAAGATACACGGCTCGCTCATTTGACTGAGTTTGCGATATGCAATATGTAGATGCAGAGCAACTGGATGACTGCACGGTGAAATAAAGTCGATGACTCAGGAGTCAGGATGGTAATCAGAACATAGCGTATTCAAGTACTACCTCAATTCAATGATACAGACACAGCAACGTCCATTAAAGTGATAGCCCAATAAGAACATTAATCAGCTATGGATGTCCAGCTAATGTAAACGCAAGCAAATAGGTTAACCAAAGCTTGCATGGCTAATGCAAATATGCCCTAATCTTGACTGAAGTGACGAACATGGTGCGGTGCACGCTGTCGCACCTGATTCAAGAGAAATACCCAAAAAGAGTAGCCGAGGATCTCAAACACTCACCCGTTGAATACTGTACTGCAGACTACTAGAATCCGATCCTCTTGCGCCGATCGCAGCCTCCAGTAAGCATCTGAATGGTCGCTGGTCAGAGCTAAGTTGATACCGTGAATTCACCTCGTTGCTGGATGCCACCAGCCGTTTCATCGAGCACATTATTTTAAGTGACATCGGCGAATGCCACTTTGAGTACACACTAATAAACCTCTTTAGTTATTATGTTCTGCCTAAATAACAAGATGAAATAAGACATACTATCAACATGATTACTGTACGTCAACAAAGCGATAAAAACGTTGCGACGACCAGCATTTCCATCTTATTTTGTGTAGACCGCAGGTATGCACATTCTCCTTTCTACAACACTGATGGTGGTCACAAAGATGCTCGTTCGTTCACAGCGTCCGACAACAGAGAAACGGTATATAATAGGATTAAAAATCCCATAGTATGATCGAAAGTCAGGGTAAGCGAACACATGCATTCTATAATTCATCTTACATAATGGTATATACAACATATATATATATGCGTATATATACAAATCAAAATGTGCAGACAGACATTACAAGTCGTTACTATTAGAGCAAGTTAATTGGATGCTGACAGCGCTGTCTGTTAAGACACGACAACTGACCTCGTGGGCCAGAGGTCAACGGCCGCTTGGGCCAGGGCAGGCCCAAGCCTCTAGTTGGCTTCTTCTGAACACATAGGTCCGGTTCATACAGCCGGATCGCAATTGCTTCAGCGGCTTCTAGTAGTCGCTTGCGGACGTAGTTCGCGCAGTTCTTCGGGACCTGAGAGATAAATTGGAACGAATCAGTGAACTCTGTGGCGTGCCCTGTATCGGCTAGGTTCGCTGTATTTCCGCTTCCAGTTTAACAGGAGTAAGCACTAGATCCCAATGAGGCAATAAGCCTGTACCTTACCGTGGTGCGCAGATTTGTGTGCCTCAGCGACCCATTGAGTTACGCTCGGTGGTGCTTTATTGCATGTTCAGAGTCACTTGGACCATTGGTCAATGGAAAGAGACCAGACGAAAACTAAGTCTCCCGGTCCTCCAGGTTGGGGGCTGGAGTTAGGGTGCCCCCTTATTCTTTAATACGGACTCACTGTGGTCCACTGCCTAACCCATCGTTTTCCGGTCAGGTTTCTGAAGAAAGGCTTTGGTTGAGAACCCTAATCTTTCTATTATCTAGGACTGGGCAACCTGACAGTATCCTGCCCATCCAATACAATGGATCTTTCCTCAAGGAATTTCTTGATGCTCCAGCAGCCGCTGAGAATAATTGAAGACGCTCTATCTACTGCATCGAGCAGGGTGGATAAGGGTTTGGATGCTACTGCACAAGCCTTCCCGACTTCTTATTTCCCACTTACGCTTTTTCATCCTTATTGTCCGGTTCCAACTTCACTTCTATCCCCGCGTTTACCACCCTTAATTCTTGGCCTTCCTCCACCATGCTTGGATAAACCTTCATCATCTAGTTTCAACTCACGTGCAAACGCGGAGCGTCACCCTTGCCTTATCAACAAATCCATTTCTAACCAAGCGATAAAGCCTAGTTCATCAGCTTCTATTTGGAACTCTCGAACCTCTTCAGATTGGCATGCTTCAACTTACGAACACAGTTATAAACCGGTCAAAAGGCATCACCAGTCCGAACATTAGAGACCATCTCGATAGATATCCGCTGGCTATCAGAAACCTACTTATAAGATCAGAGCCCTGTTCTGTTGATTGCACTTTCAACTTATGCCCCCACCGACTGCAGTTCTAACGCTACTAAGGACGCCTACTACCACGAGCTAAACATGCAGATACGCAGTGCTACCAATTCAGATACCAATGTAATTGCATGGGATATGAGCGCGCAAGTAGTCGTTTGACCACTGCAGAAGCTTAACTAAGTGTGGACTTAATTCCGACCGGACGGCAACGACGACCGTCTCTTGCAAAAATGTGTGGAGCACAGCTTTCAGACACATTGCGCGACACAGCGCGGCACATGGCCATAGATGGTCATTGGTTACAAGTTCCAGAGACCGCACTAGCAGCAGGCAAATCATCATGTGGCAAATCCAAAAGCTAACATGGACATTGGGTCCCTTCGCAGTCTCCGGAACTTATCCATGCTCGCCGGCACAGTCCGGCTGGAAATGAACACAATCAGACGCGCAAAGAGCTCCGCGCCAAATTCAGTGCTAGCCTGAAGAAAAACCTGGTGGTCTCACCGTGTGTCAGAGAAGTAAACGGCATCTGTAAGTGGTACCCCTGTTAAGTTATTAAATCAGATACGGAAAATGGACAGCAGGAGACCAGGAGTTAATGAAAACATATGTAAAGACCCTGTACAGCCAATATCAGTTTGATCCCCATCGCCTCCAAATTGCTTGCCTCTGTTATTCTTCACAGATTGACTAGCAGTCGTGAAGGCCACATTCGTGAGACTCAGACTGGGTTTCGTCGAAGTCGGGGCTGCATCGATCAGTTCAGTCGTTGGAGCACCGGCATACATATTGGTCACCCACCGTTGTCGTGTTCCTTGACATTAAAGATGACTTCGATTCGCTTGATCGACGTGCCCTTTCGGACTGTCTGCTAAGGGAAAGTGCGCCCGAGAAATATGCAAATATTATCCGAGCGCTTTATGCGCGTACCTCGGGCAGAGTGAGAGCTTACGGCAAGCCGTGGTTCGACCACAGGTGCCTTCGCAGTTTGCACTATGTTCAATGGGAAGTGCGTGAATAATAAGCGTATTCAACGCCTCGTTTGTGGCACCAGAAGAAGAAGAAGCGGACCGCTGAGCCCCGTTATTTCATGCACCAGGCTTCGATGGCTGGGCCACGTATCGCGCATGCCAGCCCACCAACTACCACGACGTGTGTTGTGTTCGTACCGGTGGTGCGGATGGAAGAAGAGAAGGATTGACAAAGCGATGACTTGGTCAAGAGGATTGAACGCCCTCACTACGAAGTTGGCTTCGGTTGAAGCCTCTCGGCTGCCTGGATGGGGAACGAAGTAAGATGAGCATGTTTGGCTTGATACACTTGCTGACATGACTAGGAGCCGAACTCAATGGCGTTTGCGTTGTGCGTCTCTTCCACCTGCTTTCCACCTGTAGCTATACCGTGTATAATGGTGATGATAACTTGCTCCTTCGTGTCACATCTTCCGGTGAACGCGAATTAAATCATGCAATGCAAATGAATTAACATATCATCGGGTGGTGCTTAAAATATGAGTAACAGCCTAGAAACAATCTAAGTCGGAAGCGCGTTCTACGCCTGGTAACCTCAGAGAGAAAGAATCCAGCGACATTCAAACCGGCTACATCGCGCAGCTGGGTCACTTCAAACTAAGTCTGAAGAGACGAAAAGCAAAGTGTGACCAGCGTTTGTTAAAATATAACAGGCTACTATGTAGTCACAGCTTCGATAAGGACTTCTTCGGCTGTACAGTACTAGAGCGTTAAACCGAAGGTAAAGAAAAGAAGCCCACAGAAGATACGGTTAGTTCTTATGGAGGGGTCACGAATACAACGAAGTTACGCTTCTGTTAGTTCCCTAGGTTTCGATCGTCTACGACGCCCGAGGCCTCATTAACGCGTTAAGCATCCGTTGGAAGATTGCAGGATCAATTCGACTGAAAGCAATCCCCAATCAGTTGCCAGGGCCTTTAAATCGGCTGTTGCCTTTTTCGTCGAACGCTATATGTTACATTATCGACTGTAGATATATCAGTTTTGCAAGAATAAGCTGACGAATATTTGGTTCACTTAACTTTAAAGGTCACTGCGACCAATCTACTCCATCCAACTTTTGAATATAAACGCCGATATATCGTGCACCATCCCCGATGTACCATGTTTGGACCTAAAATTTCACCTCAACTGAAAAGAATTATGAAAAAAGATTGCAACGAAACCTTGTTCGTTTTTGATTGGATGCAAACTCCGAAGATTTAGTACAGCAGTACAGACCCGTTACTTGTTCGATTGATCATAACTCGAGTTATGACAGGGCACTATTCGCATTTTTCTACTCATTTAAAACCTCAATATTTTGGTTGGTAACCCTCTGATATATTTACTGTCGATAATGATAATGGGTACATAAAGCTTATACCGAACACCTTCACGTGTTGCTTTCACAAATCTGAGTTATCATGAACCACTAACCTAAGGTCACGCGCGCAACAGTAACTGTCGTGCCAAGCATTACTCATCGCGACCCGGTGGCTAAAGAGACAAAGATCACAAGTAACATCCATCTGATTGGATCAAACGATATCAAAAAGCGTAGGGGATGGTAGTATTTTGGGTCAGGCAACACCTCCACTAAAACTAAGTGATCCAATTTATCAAGACTCATTTCAATGCGAATCAGGGTCCACATTGAGATTGCGCGTCCCAATCCAATCATACAAAGAGTACTTCGAAATGACCCTCCAATCAATGGTGGTTTCTTGTTTAATGAATCTGCTGATCTGTTCAACACTCAGAACGGCGACAAGAAGTTGTTTCCCTGCCCATAAAAAAGTGCCAAAGTCACCGAGGCGTTCGCTTTATTTTCAATTCTTACAAACTTCTGACAGGTATCACTCGTCGACGAGTTACTGGTCCTGGTGAGATGCAATTAAATGAAACGCAAACAAGCAGGTCTTCACTGTGGTCGCGGCTGCGTTGTGCACAAAACTACTCTTCGAAATATATCAGAGAAGAGACACTAAAATAAGACCGATTACCGTCGTTTTTCTTCGCGTGAAAATCTTAGACCTTGTTGCTAGTGCCAGCTTGTGACACCATGCGAAACAAAAAACACACATTTCGCTTTCAGAAAATAGAGGGTTTATGAGACAATGCGATCACGCAGTAATGTATTGGTGAGAATAAAACGGAAAAGTGACATGCAACAGTAAAAAAGTTCAGTGTCACTTTGACATACACCACAAAGGTGTGCATCAACTGCAAGTAGACAGCTAACGTGGACGAGTTGGGACACATTAGCTGCAATACGTATAATAATCTAGGCAGTCTTTGACATACAATGAAATAGAGAACGTCAAAGAATTAAATATTTTTGTGCCACGGCACAAGTAAAAGCAAAAATGAACCACAGCATAGCGACGAAAGCACTTCGGAACTCACTCAAATGAACACACTTTACGTGAGCTCCGAGGCTGCTTCTGCTTGAAAAGATTTTTTCACAGCTTTCACAACGGTGAGTTGGCTGTTCTGGAACAAAATGCAGAACGCAGACGGTCGAAAATAAAACAAGAAAACGCAATGTACTACAATGGACAGGTTGCAGCTAAATCAGGTGAATAATTGGCAACTGTTTTAGAACAGGAGACCAATGGCCATGCTGTATAGAACATGAGCTGGCGTGTGACGTTCCTGGCATAGCAATGAAGCTGCAATCAACAAATACCGGTTACCGTTTGATAAATTAATACAGGTGCATCTCCAGCTAATGTGTAATGATGACGTACAGTAAGTAGTAAAATGTCAAATTACATGTATAAATATGTATGTCCATATACATTGTGCGCGATTACCTTGTTTAGGAACATCCGATACCAAAGGTTCTCCAGTTGCAGGGTTGTAACGACTCTCCAGTGAGTCAAGAATGCGAACTTGTTCCGTTTTGAATGTTTGATCGACAGCAGGCAGTGCCTCGGGATAAAGGGGTTCCTTCTTCGGGAAATCTAGGGAAGCATCAATTTCTTTCCCGTTTGAAGACACAATCGACAAGTGTGAATCTGTAGGCTCCGGCTTCGGCCTCAGAATACAGAGACTCAAAGGCTGCATCTTCTGTGGACTAAGCCCAATGTTGCCCCGTTAATGAAAAGGATCAGATGAATATCTCGAGTATACAGAAGTGGCTCCAAACCTGCCTTGAACCAAGTGACAGTACACTAATGCATAGCTAGAAGAGATAGTCGTCACTAAAAGATAAGTTCAAGGGAGAAATTACATTAAAGGCGCAACAAGACACCTTATCCAAGCAAAATGAGCGACGGTCAGTGTAACAGATTTATCAAAATCCTCTAGGGTCGGGTCACTAATACCGATGTCGAGGAGCTGTTGATATGACAGACGTGAGGCAAGCTAGGTCGCCCGTAAAAAAAGAGGAATCCGCAGTACGCTTTTACGCAGTACCGATGCTTCACATCCATGTAAAATATATCAGTCGTGCATGAGCTGAGGATACTGCGAGTATCGCCCGGTTCCCTACGCAGGCTTGAATCGGTAAGGTACGGGTTGCAAGGCACACAATGCTGATCAGCGTCCCGAGAGGAAAGAGTGAAACCTACGCGAAGACTCCAATGCATGACCGGGTCCCCAATTCGCAAGCATTTAAGTGAGTCTGCTTAATCTTAGGCGAGCCACCGAAAAGTAAAGTTGCTGTGACACCAACCACCGCATCACTAGATTCCACATAAGTTGACCTATTGGGTTTACACTCCTGAATTCTGCCACGTGGCACGGCGATGTGGCCACTCCGTGACAAACGGTAAGACGACGGCAATGGATGCAGGTGACGCAGGGCACATAAAGTGACGAAAGCATGCGTAGAGAATAAAAATTTGTGGCCTGCACAAAAACTGAGCAATCTATCTCTGTTGAGTAAGGAAATGTCATTTCATTCATGCATTCCTCTAAAATAACGTCCATTAGGCAACACAAGTAAAACGTGTTTTAGGTCCCTACCAGTTGCTGATGACCACGCGTTGTTTGTATACAGCGTGGATGAGTTGTAGTAAATGATGACGGCTCCTGCTTCAACAGGAGCCAAGTTCGGGCTCACCATAAACACAACTAAGACTGTCTTCATCAGAAAGGGAATCCGTGAGGTTACCGCAAATCCAGATTCGCGACAAAGTTGTGCAAACCGCCTCCAGATTTGGTTACCTAGGGAACAATACTTTCGACCGACCTGCATATGATGAGCGAGCTGGACATCCGCGTATGCAAGGCGACTGCTGCACTTAGAAAGCTAAAAAGGGGTGTGGAGCAATCATCCGATCGTTGCTACAAAGCTGTCCGTGTACCGGTCGGTGGTACAGTCCGTTTCCCTGCATGGCAGGGAAACTGGACGACGGATGGGAAGCACGTCCGCTACTTGGAGCGATTACATCAACATCGTCTGCGTTCAATTCTGTGCATCGGCCGTGAAGACAGAACTGATGACACAGGAGTGCTAGGACGCATTGGAAAGTATGTAATGGACTACACACATCATCATCATTATATACGTTAGCTAGAGGTGGTAAACACCTCAGCTGCTGTGCTGCAAACCATGAAAGAAAGAGGGGAAAATGCAACAGGTGCAAGCCAGCTAAGCTACCGGTAATGGATGGACGTCGTTCCGGTAAGCTACCTGCCGGCTACTATGCAGCAGAAAAAATAATTTACTATGCAAAATTATATAAGGCTAAATAGTGAGATCGTGGTTGGAGGGGGAGGCTAAGCATAAGGGGATGGACTAAGGAATTCACAACATAAACGCCACTGGGGTCGGCTCCTAGCCATATCAGCAAGTGTGTCCAACCAAACGTGCTCATCATCCTTAGGACCCCAGCCAGACAGTCGGGATGCACTAACCGACGCCAACTTCGAAGTGAGGATTTTCATGTATCTAAAACCAAGTCAACACTTGCCCCCCCTATCTTCCAACTGCACTCCCAAGGCGAAAACAATGCATATCGCGGAGTCGGTGTGATGGCATGCGCAACACGTGGCCCAGCCATCGAAGCCTGGTGCGAGACATAATGGTGCTGAGCGGTTCACTAGCTCTTTCTGCACCAATTACGCGATGCTGAACACGCGCATTGATCACGCGGTGCTCCCACCAGACATGAGCTAAGCTGCGAAGGCAGCGATGATCGAATGTAACCAGCCTCTTTATGTCGGTCGATCTGACGGGCCAGGTTTCACAACTATATAAGAGGATTGAATGGACAGCTGCGTTGTAAACTCTGCCCTTCAGGGTGAGTGATGTCCCGTCTACGTCACAGGTGGCGGAGATTGGCAGAAGCACCTCGAGCTTCTGCTACACGGTTCATAATCACAGCTTCGATACCACGGGCACTAATATAGCTGCCCAGGTAGTTGAATTACTGAACGACTTCTAGCTGATCTCCACCAAGGATCAGCACAGGAATGGATGGAGCAAAGCATAGTCCAAAACGATTGACAGTGAGTGCTAATCTGTCTAGTGCAGCCTGGCACGTTAGGGCGCTGACACATGAGGGCAATGTTGTCCGCATACTACAAGTCGAGAAATCGCCCAACAGGTAGTAGCTTCACATCTAGGTCGTGTCTAGCGAATGTTGTTTCTATGGTCGTTAACTGAGAAGTTAAATAGGAAATGTGACAGCAGGCGATCTTGTCTCACACCGCTGGAGATATTGAAGCGTAGCGAGTTTACCATAAACTCTCACTCTGCCCGAACTATGTGCGTACAGCGCTTTATCGGGCACACCTATACTCAATAGGCAGTCCCAAACGGAACATCGATCCACCGAATTGAAGGCAGCTTTGATGTCGACAACGGTGGGTCGCCAATAAACATAGCGGTGCTCCAACAAATGACGCAAAGTGAAGATGTGGTCGCTGCAGCCTCTATTTCGGCGTAACCCGGCTTGCTGTTTGCGGATCTGGCGTTCACGAGCGCCAGTCAATATGTGGAGAACGACAGAGGCAACTTAGAGGCAATTGAGATCAGACTGACCACTCTATGGTTGTCGCATTCCGAACGGGAGCCTCCCCTGAAAACTGGAACCATGACGGAGCAGCTCTAGTCTCTCGGGACAGTTTCCTGCTTCCAAAGTTCCATTAGTAACTCGTGTAAATCATCTACAAGAGCAGATCACCCGAATTTGTAGAGAGCTGGAGATTCTATCTGCACCTGCGGCCTTATACAATTTCAACAGTCTGATCTCATGTTCGACTTCTGCGCGTGAGGGCGGATCTAAGGAGACAGCCCATGGAGAAGGGCACTCAAGGTCCGAAAGAGAAAGCGATAACTCAGATTAGGTAAACTGCCTTGCAAAGTGTTCAGCCCAACGCTCTAAGAGTTTTGACAAGCTGTGGTGCGCTGTCGTTTCTCCATGAACTTTACCGGAAGGCGCACAAAGCGTCTCCCCGATTGGAAACGGAGAAATTGTCCCAGCCTATCAAGAAGCACTGCATAGCGAACTCTCGCTGTCTTGTCCTAATGACACTAAACTTCAGTGGAATAGGATCTCGGCCGCTATGCGCTACGCAGGAGCATCTGTTTGTGGCACTATCAGTCGTCACCGCACCAGTCACTGGATATCCGAGAGGTTCGTGAACCTGTTAGAAGCTAGAAGACACTTCCCGGCTGGTTCTGAACACAATGTGACCAGATGGGCTATTAGGCGTGAACTAAAGCGGAGCCTACGTGCTGACAAGGAAGCCTGGTGGACCAGTCAGGCTCAAGAAATGGAGGAGGCAGGAGCAGTAGGCAATTACCGCAAGCTCTTCCAGCTAATCCGCATCACTGGTCCCAGAAAACCAGACGTCAGTGAGACAGTCAGAGACAGCGCGGGTGCGCTGATACACAATAAGGAGCGCCGTATGGCTAGTTGGGCTGAACACTTTGAAGATCAATTCAGCTGTCCCCTTGCTCCCGGACCTTTGCCTACTCAGGTGATGCAGGACGTGCCATAAACGGTTAGTTTGGAGCCTCCGTCGGAGGCCGAGGTCCGAAAGGCGATCACAGCCCTCAATCGTTTTCGTGCCGCTGGCCCGGATTCCCTACCACCTGCACTATTTAAGGATGGAGGTGAGGTCCTCTGCAGGGCACTGACCTCCCTATTCGAACGTATCTGGAACGAAGAGAGTGTGCCGGCTAATTGGAGCGAATCGATTACAGTGGCAATATACAAAAAGGGCAGTCGCACAGACTGTGCGAACCACAGGGTATTAGCCTAACGCCAGTTGTGACAAAATTACTGGCCTCGATTCTCGTTCGTCGCCTCACTGCAGAACGGGAATCTCGGATTAGGGAAGAGCAGGCCGGTTTTCGCCCAGGACGTGGCTGTATAGACCATATATTTACTTTGCGGCAGGTGCTAGAGCAGCGCCACGCATACCGCAGACCGACAATAGCTGTGTTCCTCGATTTCAAGAGTGCGTTCGATTCAGTCGATCGATCGATTCTGTTCGAATTACTTGCGCGAAAAGGTGTTCCCACGAAATATGCAAACATCCTTCGTGCTCTATACTCGAACATTACAGGCCGCGTCAGGGTCTATGGTGTCCTATCGGATAGCTTTTCGACTACAAGTGGCGTTCGTCAGGGTTGTCCAATTTCCCCGTTTTTGTTCAATTTCGTCATGGAGTGTTTACTTTGGGAATCTCAGGAAGTAGGCGTTGAAGTGCTGCCTGGTGAAAGGTTAGTTGACCTAGATTATGCGGACGATATAGTCTTGCTTTTCGACAATGTTGAGGCGGCACAATCAACCCTGAATAGCCTATCCAGAGTGGTCCCATTATTTGGTATGCACTTCGCACTTTCAAAGTGCAAAGTGTTGCTGCAGGACCACCAGCCACTTGATGACCCCTTGACGCTTGCTAACGAGGAACTCGAGGTGGTTGATCAATTCACTTACCTTGGCAGCTGCATCAGCAATGATGGGCGCATAGAAACTGAGGTGAGCCCACGCATTGCAAAGGCCAGAGCTGCCTTCTTGAACCTGCGTTATCTTTGGCGACAGAAGGGAGTTTCCCTCCGTCTGAAAGGCCGTGTATACAAGGTCACAGTAAGGGCCGTTCTGCTCTATGGTAGTGAAACTTGGCCCCTTCGGTCTGAAGATCTGAGGCGCCTTCAAGTCTTTGATCATCGTTGTCTGCGAAGCATTGCTGGTGTCGGATGGCACCAGCATGTCCGCAACGAT